AGTATCCTGGTGGAACTCAATCCCCCTAAATGTCCATTAGTTCTCCCAGAGCTGCCCTAAATTCATAGTTTAAGAATAGTCAGTTTGCTAGGAAAACTGCTTCTTCAAGAGAGATTCTCATTAACCCTTCGCTTCCAACCAGATTTCTACTCCCAAGCAAAAGAATTCGGAGAGAGCCTTCCTAGGGGAAATTTGGAGGGGATTGGGAAATGCATTGACCTTCCACTCTTCCACCCCCATCTTCCTTTGGGGTACAAGCTGTAAGTTATCGCGAAAAGGGTCAAGACACTGTTTTTTGTGTTTTTTTTCTTATGAAAATTTATGGAGAATTCCTGTGCTGTTACTTGAGAAATGTGGAATACATTTTGGTTCTCCGTCGTCTGGTAATTAATACAGATGTTTTCAAAAGCATACTGTGTAGAATCAGGTTAATAGGAAAGTGTTTTAGGGGTTCCTTAAATGTTTGGGGTTTTGTTTCTAAATTATATTTTTTATATTTAAAAAAACAAACATGCTGCCGCATTCAGAGCTGTCACATGTCTAACTACTTGGCATCATGGTGACTGTGAGTATTAATTTAGCTGCTGCCGTCTTTATTCATTTGAATGCATACCTGGAAATAAGGCTTGTCATGCCTTGTGATACAACAGAATGTTTTTTTACTGGCCTTTGTAGTTTTACGCCAGAAACTCTTCTAAGTCATCTACAGACTAGTGTGTCTATTTATCTCCATGAGTGCTTTTGTTTTGTAACCGAGTACAGAAAGAAGTTGGGGTTCAAAGAGGGGAACAGTGCACTGGCATTTCCCCCCCAGGGTTCTCTGTAATGGTTTCTTTTCTTTCTTTTTTCAACTTTATTAAGAAATAATTGACAGATATTATTGTATATATTTAAAGTGTATGGTGTGATTTGCTATATATATTCATTGTGGATGATTGCCAAGATCAAGATAATTGACAAATTGGTCACCTCACATAACTAACTATCTCTGATTTTTTGTTGTTTGTTTTGGGGGGTTTGCTTATTTGTTTCTGTTTTTTGGTTGAGAATGCTTAAGATCCACTCTCAGTACCTTTCAAGTACACAGTATTGTATTGTTAACTATAGCTACCTTGCTGTACATTAGAGTCTCAGAAGTTATTCTTTTTATGACTGAAAATTTGTACCCTTTGACCTACATCCCCTCATTTACCCATCCTCCAGCCCCTAGCAACCACCGTTCTGTTCTGTCCCTGAGAGATGTTTTGGTTTTTGTTTGTTTGTTTTAAGATTCCACATATAAGTGATACCAGACAGAATTTGTCTTTCTCTTTCTAACTTATTTCACTAGTAAAATGCCTTCCAGTTTTACCCATCTTGTTGTAAGAGGCAGAGTTTCCACCTTTTTTACAGCTGAGTAATATTCCATTGTCTATTAAATGTAATGTCACATTTGCTTCAGTGATTGTTTCTTAACACCTATGTACAGAGGTGAGGCGTGGAATGCTAGAGTGGCTAGGATTATTCAGCAGGAACTTTGGAAAACCTTGAGAAAGGGGCAATAGCTTGGTGAGCTCAGGTGGTGAAAACTGGACTTGGCGCTGGGAAGGACACCTACGTTCACTTCCTTGAAGACCCTCCCCAAACCCTTCACAGAGCCTGGCACTGTTTCCAGCATTCTCACACCCTTTGAGGGATGGTTTGGGAATAGCAGCTTGGTGGGTGAGCATGTTCTTTAAAGATATAGACAAAGTGATGTTCCCCCAGAAGCTTTGTAAGCAGTGGGTATGGCGGGAAAGAGCCACAGTAAGAGAATAGGACACATGGCATGCAGTGACAGTGGCTCCTAGACTGGTTGGGAGATACTTAGTCATGTCACTGTGGACAGTCCCAGAGATAACTGGGTCCTGAAGTCTGGCACAATGTAGGTGGAAGTTGTCAAGTAATAGATATTTGGATTATAGCTATTTAAAGAAAGTATCCTAAGATTTAGAGAGGAGCCCCAAAATGCTGTAACCATCTAGCCACCGCTTACTGTTTTGAATCGGGGGTATTTTGGTACCACATAGTGAAAACAAGATAGAGAGAAATTAAATGCTCATGGATGGTCCGTGTTGTGTCAGTGTGTGTTCAAACAGCCTGCTCTCATTGATTGGATTTATGATTAGACGCTATGCACTTGACACAGAATCAACTTGACACATCAGAATTGTTTACTGAATGAATAAAAATAAATGACCATTTTTATAGTGAAATGCATATAATATTTCACTGGATTAAGACATTCCATTGTTTTTTGTTGTTGTTGTTGTTGTTGTTGTTTTAAGTTTGAAAAATAAACAAAACATGGTAGACCATAGGACCAGCATAGACAGGCAATTGCATTTTCCCATTTTTCTCCTCTAATGGCGGTGGTTTGGGCTGTGGCCACTTTCACAGGTGCTAATTCTGTTAACTAGTATTGCTAATTTACCAGAACAGAAAATCCAACGAACAGCAACACAGCGGATCTACTATAATGACACATCACTATCCAGGAGTAAGCGGCTGCATAACGCACATGAACAGCAAATGGAAAGTAGAGAGGAAGGGAGGTTTCAACTAATCGATTGAAAACAACTAAAAGTTAGCAGGTTTCCCTTCTTTCTGGCTGTGATCATTCTGAAAACAGAAAGGTTAGATTGATTCCAGCGGATATGCCTCAAAATGCCACGGAGGACTCCCCTTCCAGCGCAGTATTGATAAAGTGCCTGAGTGTATCACTGGCATTTTCGTTTTATTTTACTCGCCCAGCAAGAAGAGCCAGGGAGTGGGTTTGTACCTCGCTGCCGGACTGCCTGTGAATTGTTTCAACAATTGCCGTGCGTGTGCGCAAGGGGCTCCGCGCCATTACATGCGGGGTGAAAGGGTTCCTTCTCTGGCGTTCCCCTGAATTCCCTCATCAAATGGAATGTTAGACCCAGCCTGTGACCAGCTGAACCTCATTATTTAGTTTGCCGCTGTATTGTGTCAAGAGAGCAACTACCTAGAAATGCTTTATGCCCACACTAGTCCCATTTTCTCGGTGGGGGATTTATGGGCCTATTCAGAAAAACCGTACTGGGGTAGCACAGCAACATCGCTCTGTGTCTTCAAACAAACAGCCACCCTGCTGCCACTGATCAGTGTTCCTGGGACGGCAGTGATTGAGGTTTAGCACTTAGAGCGACTTAATTGGTGCACAGATCTGTTAAGCATATGCCCCCACCATAGGTATGCCATCTGATGTGCCCACAGGGTGCCCCGCACCTCACACATGCTCGCATTTTGCTAAAGAAGCAAGTTTTGAACCCATCCATGAAGGAAGCCTGTGCCATGGTTTAGGAGGATAAGGGGTGACCTTAGAGCACCGGTTCCCAGATCTCTGCCCGTCGTTGGGTTACCCTAGTTCTGCATGCCCTTGAACTTGGAAGAAACCTCAGGCTGTGGAGTTGCAGTTTGCTTGCTGTGAGAGAAGCATTCAGAATCCGCTCAGTGATGCTTGTGCCTTCAGTAAATCAAGCCCTGTGTGAGCCGAGTGGAACTTGGAAGGACTCAGCACTCCTTGGCAGCTTGCTGCCTTGGAATTCAAGGTTAGAATGTTCTGTGCTCACTGTGGCTAGAACTTACCCTTGGCCTTCAGACAAAATCCTGGAAACCGATGTCAACGTTTTTCTGCTGAGCTGGACACAGCAGGACTGGGCCAAATGTTCTAGGTTATGAGTATCAGGAGGGAAATAAGAACCTCCACAGAAAATGGAGCAGCCCCGGTAGGTTCTTCTCCTTACGTAAGAACAAGTAAGGGGTGAAGACATCACTGGTTAGGAATGCACTGCTCTGTTGAACCTTCCCAAGTGTCCTGGTGTTCATGGACTTCACGTAACCGGGTGGACCCTGGTCATCACCGCAGGGACCAAAAGTGACAGCCTTCTCAAGCTGCCGCGATGAGTTTCAGCGGGAAGGGGCTCATCAGGTCTGTGTCCACTTAGTTTCCTTTGGCGAGCACATCCTGTCCTAACTGGATCACAGACTCCTAGCCCTCATCTGTATTTACTATATGTTCTCCTCTAGCCTCAGGCAAAATCCTGGGCTCCTAATACATGCTGAATAAGTGTTTGTGAATTCTGAACGAATGAACTAGATAGTTTGGGTTCCTCTGAGTGAGGGTGAACATAGGAATAGGTTAAAATCAGAGAAGGACATACTGTGATATTAATGAAGCTTAAGTTTCAGGGTCCCTCAATTGCACAGATCCCTTTCCAGGACCTGTCCTAAGTTTGAAATCATAATCTTATATCCTGTTTCTTGTGGAGGACTCCCAAATTCTGTAAGCTTCAGGACCCCATAAGACATGGATTTGTGCCTGTTAAAATGCCGTGGCTTAGCCCTTGTGACCTCTCCCATCCAATGGCTTTCCCAGAAATTGGGAGATTAGAAGAAACGGATAAAGCCAAGCCTGCAGAGGAAAAGAAAGAGAAGGAAATAACATTTAAGAGCCCCATGCTAAATAAGGATGAACTGCATTTATTATCTAATTTAACCCCTCACAGCAACCCTTTCTGGGAGATAGCATATTGAGGCTCAGAGAAGCTAAGTAACCTGCCCAGTGTGGTACAGCTTCCAGAGCTGTGGACTACATCCTTGACCTTCCTCTCTCCCAACCATCTGCTCAGGGGTTACCTTGCAGGGTGCATATTTGACAGCTCTGTGCATCTTCCCTGAGAGTCTTAAACCCACCACAGTAAGAAACAAGAAATGCTTGGACTGGCAGGTAACTCATGCTGTGAGGGTGAGAGAGAGCTTTGGGGAAGGGATCAGGCTTGAGCTGTTTAATGGAAGGCACCGGTAAACCCTTCCCCAGTCAGGGTAAGTGAACGCTGTAACAATTCATTCAATTATGTTAAGCACCCATTAAAGGAATCCTAAACCCTCCCTTGGGCCATTTCAGCTCTACGAGATTGTAATTGTTTGAGACTAACCATGATTTCTTCTTTTGCCTTCAGGTGATTCTCATTTTGACAAAGCTCTATGACTATAACCTGGGGAGCATCACTGAGAGCTCACTTTGGAGGTATGTAGATAAATTGAGCTAATGATGATTGTTATTTAAACATGATGCCCACAACTGCTCCTCCCTACCCGCTTTTTCCTGGTGAGAAGGTTTCTGGTTAGTGTAGCTTTCCTTCCTCTATTTGCTCTCTGTTTCCTTAGCCACGGTTGGGGTTTATCGCCAGGCAGACCAGATTCTTACTTCTTTATAGACTCCTTCTTTTGGTCAAAGGTCTTCTTGCTAAACTGTTCATTAGGTTGTCTTTTTGCTCTTTGGTTCTCACAGTTCTCACTGATCTGTGAGCTTACTGGAGCAGAAGCGAGAGAATGGAGGTGTCTTTGCAGAGGGGATCAACATAACCTCTAGGTCTGCAGAATCCAGGCATTCCCCCATGCAACACTGTCTCCTGCAGCTTGCTAGCAACACACAGGTGTGCAAACACACTTATATGCATGCCTTTATCTCTGTGGTTCATGCTCTATTGCCTCACACATATACAGTGTAATAAATACTTTTTCAAATGAATGATACGAATCCTTTAGGGGCAGACTATCTCTTTGGATGCCAGCACAAAAGGAAGTCCTTAGAAACCCAGGCAACTATTATCTCCTTCTTTTTTCTTGGAGATTTTTTAATTTGTTGTTTCTTTTTGGTTTTAAAAATCTGTTTTATTTATCTTACTCCTGATTGGCTGTTCTCCACCAGGCTGTATCATGTGCCTACACATGAGCCAATTTCTGAAGCACAGAAGAGCACTGCCTCTGATTGGTCAGGTCTGGATCACATGATAATCTTGAGCGAGGATGGAGACAACCCCAGAGATAATATTCAGTAATTACTGGCTGGGAGGGTGTCAAACCCAGAGTCTGTTCAGATTTGTCAGTGCCCTTGTCATAACAATGGCTAACTGTGTTGAATGCCATTTCTGAACAGGCACCCCCCCAACACACACACACACACACACACACACACACACACACGTGCATGCACAACTCAGTGGGTGTGGCTATACTAATGACGGAAAAGGGGGGAGTGATCTTTGAGCAGACAACAGCTAGTGGGTGTCCACTGCCTGAGATCAATGAGGATTCCATCACCTGTGAGTTCACATGGCCAGGAGAAGCTGGCTATCAGCTCTCAGTGCTAAATTCTAGAGAGAAAGACTCTAGTCGCCCCATGTGTGTATGTTTCCGCCCCGGGTATAGTCAGTGTTGATTGGGAAGGGATGGTTGATTTACACAGTAGCACGTTGGCTGCAGGGCATGCACTTATAGAGGAATGCAGTCGCCATACAAGAGAAGGATCCTGGAAGGGATATATACCACCAAAGCAAGCTACCATACCCTATGAGGGGATTGTTCACCAAAGTTTATTTTTACCTGATGTCTGTTTTCCAGTAGACTTAACACTATGTATAGGGAGTCCCAAATAAATTGTTCTGTGCTTTAGGAGAACGATAGCAGACCAAGGAAAACGATGGATACTGTTCTTTTATTTGTTGTCAGGCATTTAAGTTATTGAACGCCTCCTCCAACTATGAGGTTAATTATGCAGAGTTATATCACAAGGAAATTTTGTAAGTGAATTAAAGTGGAGGGAATTTGGTAGGAGCCTCAAAAAGTACAGTTCTTTCATGCATTGAAGGCCTAACACCTGCTGTATTGTTTAAATTCAACCCCTGTTCGTCAGAACCTCAGTGACTCTGAGTAAGCTTATGCTCCGTTGATAGATTTCTCTAATGTATGCACATATATGAAAGAGAAATCCAGCTTTTATTCTGCACTGCGCCTGCCATATAAAGTGTAGCCTACCTATTAGAAAATTAGAAGGTACGCAGTTCCGTCTCAGTGGGACAGGCTTTTAGCAGCTCTGACTTTGATCCTGAGCAGTGGGAGGGGCATGCTGGAGGGACATGAAGACTGGCTTGTCCAGGCTGCCGGAGCTCCTGTTCAACGTGCCTCTCTCTCTCTCTCTGATGTGGCATTGTCATCGATGCCCCAGTCTAGGGGGAATGCACTCTTCTGATCTTAAGGGAGGGGGTTATTGAAGTGAAAATGACATCACGTTTCAATACTATCAGGCCTCCCTTCTGAGGGAGCTAGCTAGCTCCAGGGGCTTAAGCTTGGGAAAGTGTGGCGAGAATGACTTTTCAGTCCCAGAATCTCTCTCTCTCTCTCTCTCTCTCTCTCTCTCTC